GATCACAGGTGCCCCCCCCCCCCCCCCCCGAGTCTAAATGATAAAACACATTATTTTTCTAAATGGTGACTTACAGACAGTTGTCCATAGCGGGAAACATCTAAAAGCAAGTCATTACGGGTCTTTATCACCAATTGTTTAGAAATATGTAGCATAGCCGAGCGGTGAGGGGAGAGCCGCTCGGCCAGGATCTGACAGCCGGCGGTTCTCTCTCTCCTCACCGCTCGGCCATGCTGCTGTGACAGCGGCTCCCTCCTCCACACCCCCCCAGCTGCAGCTCTTCCTTCACTTCTCCTCGGATCACCACTGCATACAGGCGGGGGAGAGAAGAAGGGATCCAGAGGAGAAGCTGCAGGCTGAGCTCTGTGAGTGACCGAGCGTCAGAGGATCGGTACATATCAGCGATATGTACCAATCCTCTGTGTGCAACACATCAGATGATCACTCCAGTGTTTGTAAATAACTGGGGACACATAGTACTATGTGTCCCCAGTTATGAATGAACAGGAAGTGCTTTACATCACTTCCTGTTCATTCATGAGATTCTCAATGGGGAGTAGCACAGAGGCTCCTCCCCATTCAGAAACTGGATGATAGTAAATATTTTCTGAATGAATGGGAAGCCTCTGTACTTTCCATTCATTTAGAACAGATGCTGCAGAAAAAGAGATTGAGGACTCTGTGTCATCAATTTATTTTTCTATTTTAAAAGGGAAAGGTCAGGGGGCTGTTTAGACCCCACATATTTCCCCATAGCCGCCCCCTCACCTCCCCCCCCACAGTAAAAAAAAAAAATAATTAAAATAAAAATAGAAAAAAAGAAATAATAATAAAGAAATAATAAAATAATTTAAAAAACACATCCTGGAGGCAGGGCACATTTTTTTTTTACTTGCCTCAGGCGCAAAAGTAGCTGGCTACGGCTCTGCTCCCACTGTGCTCGTGAGCTGCCGGCTGAATGTGTCAGATGCCGCATAGGGGAAGGGGCGGGACACCTCGTTTGTAGCTCTCATTGAGCTCGTCATTTGAAAAGTAGATATCCAGACGAAGAATTGTGGGCGCCCCTGACGTAGGGGGTATGGTGGAATGCCTTTAGGATAACATTGCTGGAACCATCTGTAGAAGAAATCTCTTGCACATTATCCTGATAGCTGCATTACATACCAATGTCTGTCGAAACCAGCTTTAACCGTAGCATGCTACAAGACCCTTCTGGAATTATTGTTTGATATGTGGTAGCTGTTAGCACGGACAGATGGATCTAAATAGTTACAGAGCAGATGTTTATATTTTTTTATTTACAGAGGGTAAATATGGGATTTATTAATAAAATTGCAGTTTTATATTGATAGGAAATGCATTGTTTATTGTTTTGTTGTCGGGTCCATGCACACATATGATTATCCTAGACATACCTGGGGAGGAGTGGGAATCATACACGGAGGAACAATCTGACACCAAGCAGGCAGGACACTCTGCCGACTGAGCTAGAATAGGCAAGCACAAGTGTTTATCCCTATATAGAGGAGGAGCAAGGTGTGTGCAGTTACTTTGTTTATGGAAAACATTGGGTGACAGGGCAATATTTTCACAGGCGTTTTTCTCCTTAAGAAAGGTCAATAAGGACTCTCTGCTGGTTCAACAGACTTGTGATTGATGCTCCTCTAGCATCTATGACCAGATACACACTGTAGCATTGAAATCATGGGATTGATTCAGATGTAAGTTTTATTAATAATACCTCTAAACAATAGTCTTATTTAACACACTGTTTATAGATAATGATGTAAGAAACCTGCTGGCTTAAAAACCCCAATATATAAATATATGGGGCTTCCTCTGCAGCCGGACCGGCGGTGCTGGGCCACAGCCCCGGCCTTTTCCACTTCCTCTCCTGTCAGTGCCCCCCAGCCTTGGGCCCTGGGGTGACGCACCGGTTGCACTGCCAGTGGTTCTGCCCCTGCACAAAGGTAAGAATCCATGTGACCAGAGGGCAACATGGGCACCCAAAAAGGATTCCCCCCCCCACCCACGCTGCAGTTCCCAAGAAAGTAGACTTGGGACCTGGTCTTTTACCTTAGCACAGATTGAGGTAAGTATTTGGACCATTTAAATTAGATTAGTTATACATGTAAAGTCAATGAGGGGAATTTATCAAAATCTGGAGCAGTTGCCCCATGCAACCAATCAGCTTCTCTGTTTAGTTTGTTCAGTTAAGATTTAATAATGAAAGAGAGAAGCTGATTGGTTGCCTTGCACAGCTGTTCTAGATTTTGTCTGCTCCAGTTTTAAATAAATATCCCCTGAAGGGTTAAACAGTGTGTCCTCCATGGAAGTTTTATGTATATGAATATAAGAAATGCTGCTCCAAGTCAGTTCACTCTTGCCCACAAACACTGCTGGCTGCCCCTCTGACTGCTAGATGACGGCACTCCATCATTACATCCAAATTCTATATTTCAGTGGACTGAAAAAGGGGTACGACACATAGCAAGATCTCTTATGTGTTTCACGCTCACAGATGCTTAGCCATAGAGTCATTTCTTTAAAAACACAATCCCCTTTTATTAACATTGTAACAACAGTCAGAAAAACATTGACTAAACATTTAACATTGTTAAAGCACCTTCTGATTTTATGACGGCATTCCGTCTTTTTGGGGTAGGCGTCTATCAGCAGGGCACATCTTGCCATGGGAATCTTTGCCCACTTTTCCCTGCAAAGGCTCTCCAAATCTGTCAAGTTGAGGGGGCATCTCTTGTGCACAACCCTCTTCAGGTCACCCCACAGATTTTCATTTGGATTTAGGTCTAGTCTCTGGCTGGGCCATTCCATAACTTTGATCGTCTCCTGAGAAGCCATTCTTTTGTTGATTTGGAGGTATGGTTTGTGTCGGGGCCGCGCTCCCGCCCTGCCTGGCCGAGGAGAGGGGGCGGATAGTGTGTGTCACATTCGGAGGGGAAGAGGAAGAGGTGTGGCAACCTGGAAACCGGAAAGGGTGAGGAGAAGGAGGGTCTGTGCATCGAGAGAAGGGTCTGTGGAGAACGTAAGAATGGAAGGAGCCGGCACCAGCGTTGTCCACGACGACTTTGAAATAAAAAATAAAACAAGAAAAAATAAATTTAAATAATTTTATAAACCCCACCCCCGCCAACCCGTCCACTCGCGACGAACTCCGACCGGAGAATGGCATTTTGACAGATGCAGGCAACATATAAACAATTGGGCGGATCTAGTGGTGACAGCTAGCTCCGCCCAACTGTTTACAGTTGTGAGGCATCTGACAGGTGAGCCATGATTGGGCAAAGTCATCACCATTTTTTTGGAACTTACATTTTTTTAAAACTTTTTTTCACTTAACTTTATTGCTATCACATAGGGGGATAAGAAGCCCCCTATGTGCAGGCCCGGCGCTACCGCAAGGCAAGTCAGGCGGCCGCCTGAGGGCGCTGCAGGGTGAGGGGCGGAAAAAACGGCATTTTGACAAGTACTTGTACTTGTCAAAATGCCCCGATGTTTGCGCTATGTTTTTTTTTCACTTTCCTTCGGTGCGGGAGAGCAGCGGCGAATCAGCGCTAGTCCAGTGGGAGGAGCTCCAGGTGGGGTCCTAATTTAGCTGGCCAGCGACTGCCAGGGGATCCCGACACGCGCGGCACCTCAGGCAATCGCCGGCCAGCTAAATTGGGACCCCACCTGTAGCTCCTCCCACCTGACCAGCGCTGACTCGCCGCTGCTCTCCCGCGCCGAAGGTAAGTGAAAAAAACAAAAAAAACCATAGCGCAAACATCGGGGCATTTTGACAAGTACAAGTACTTGTCAAAATGCCCTGTTTTTACAGGGGGTCGGGGAGGGGGGGGCGCAAAAATGCACCTTGCCTGTGTAGGCAAGAATCCTAGCACCGGCCCTGCCTATGTGATAGCCAATTTACAGTGACAGGTCCTCTTTATGGAGACATCAGGGGGTCCCTAAGACCCCCTAATGTCACCTAGGGACCCCCAAAGAAGCTGATGAAACAAATTTCCTGCTCATGCGTGCCGCCTAGTGGCAGGCACGAGCGGGGCTGGAATGGATGTTTCAAAATGCCCACCCGCATTCAAGAAGTCACAGTTCGGCCGTTTAATTACAACAGCCGGACAGCAGGAGGTTAAAGTAAAAAAAAAAATGTTTAAATAAAATAAATGTAAAAATAATTTGAAAAAGTCCAGTCAGCTGCTGGAGGCTTCACCTGAGAATGTGAGGCAACATCGCTGATCTCTGTGCTGTGCGTCACACCGCTGATCTCCGTGCTGTGCGTCACACCGCTGATCTCCGTGCTGTGCGTCACACCGCTGATCTCCGTGCTGTGCGTCACACCGCTGATCTCCGTGCTGTGCGTCACACCGCTGATCTCCGTACTGTGCGTCACACCGCTGATCTCCGTACTGTGCGTCACACCGCTGATCTCCGTACTGTGCGTCACACCGCTGATCTCCGTACTGTGCGTCACACCGCTGATCTCTGCACTGTGCGTCACACCGCTGATCTCTGTACTGTGCGTCACACCGCTGATCTCTGCACTGTGCGTCACACCGCTGATCTCTGCACTGTGCGTCACACCGCTGATCTCTGTACTGTGCGTCACACCGCTGATCTCTGCACTGTGCGTCACACCGCTGATCTCTGCACTGTGCGTCACACCGCTGATCTCTGTACTGTGCGTCACACCGCTGATCTCTGCACTGTGCGTCACACCGCTGATCTCTGCACTGTGCGTCACACCGCTGATCTCTGTACTGTGCGTCACACCGCTGATCTCTGTACTCTGCGTCACACCGCTGACTTCTGTACTCTGTTTCACTGCTGACCTCTGTACTCTGTTTCACTGCTGACCTCTGTACTCTGTTTCACTGCTGACCTCTGTACTCTGTTTCACTGCTGACCTCTGTACTCTGCGTTACATCTCTGCACTGTGCGCTACACCGCTGACTTCTGCACTTTGCATAACACCGCTGACTTTTGCACTCTGTGTTATTACTGACCTCTGTGTTAGTACTGCACTCTGCGTTATTAGTGACCTCTGTACTCTGCGTTACACCTCTGCACTGTGTGTCACACCGCTGACCTCTGCATTATTACTAACCTCTGTTATTAGTGACCTCTGTACAGTGCCTCACAACAGTGACTTCTGTACTCTGCATTACACCGCTGAGCTCTGTTACACTGCTGACCTCTGTACTCTGCGTTACACCGCTGACCTCTGCATTATTACTAACCTCTGTGTTATTAGTGACCTCTGTATAGTGCCTCACAATGCTGACCTCTGTACTCTGCATTACACCGCTGAGCTCTGTACTCTGTTACACTGCTGAACTTTGCACTCTGTGTTACACTGCTGACCTTTGCACTCTGCTTTAAACTATTGACCTCTGCATTGCTACTGACATCAGGCTGCCACCCCAGAGCAACACAGACTATGAAGCTTCATATTATTTTGTATTGCTGAGATTTGTAGTCTTCTATAGCTGGTGATATTCTGCATTGCTGTATAATATATTGCTGGGATTTGTAGTCCTCTTTAGCTGGCGGCATCCTGCATTGCTGTATAATGTATTATTGTGTAATGAACCTCTGTGGTGGATCCGCTTCTGTGCTCTTTATTTTGGTGCAGCGGCACCCCTCCTGATCCACCATGGAGGCGACGCTTGAAATCACTTCATTCTCTCCTCCACGACAGTTTATAACGGGCAATAGAAATAAATAAATAGAAGCGAAGCAGAAGTGGCTTCTAAATTAACAAAGCGGCACTGGAGAATGAGGCGATTTGAAGCCTCACCTTTGTGGTGGATCAGGAGGGGCGCCGCCGTTTGGATGGAGAACTTGTCCCTGGGGGGGAGCAACTCTGAGTGACGGAAGACAGAATGTCTAGCTTCTCCTCTCCCTGCAATAACCAGCTGTGTAGTACAGCTGCCCATAGTAGTGAATGGGTGTAGGTGGCTGTACCCAACTACTTGCATATACCTGTGCATGCGTACGGGCATACAACCTAGGGTTGCCACCTTTTCTTTAAGTGAAACCCGAACCCCCTCTAGTGACGCACGGACATTTTTTTTGGGAGAATGAGTCGCGGCTTATTCATATGTAAAAGCGCCACCCATTCATACGTAAATATCACAGTTGAGACTATTTTCAGTGTGGGGGGGGGGGGAGTAGCCCCTATCTTAATTTTGGTTGCCCCTGTGTGCCTGACATTTTGTGTCCGGGTTTCTGTTGCCATGAAACCCGGACACAGCATTCAAAACCCGGACTGTCCGGGTGAATCCTGGACAGGTGGCAACCCTAATACAACCCCTGACGCAGCTTGTGTGCCTCCAGGGGCGCGGGCTTTACACATGCCCAGGTTTACAGTGTAGCAGTGCAAATTCATGTAAGGTCACCTACAACTATTCACTATTATGGGCAGGTGTACACCACAGCTGGCTATCCCAGCCACAGAAATACCTGTTTTATGTTCTGTGTTTAGAAATAAACCTATTTGGCAATGCCAGTGTGAATGAAGCCTAAATGGGCCCGAAGGGGGGCAAAGATTGTACTTGAACAGGGACTCTTTATTGGCTTTGTAAATTGCCCAGGAAAAGAGTGTGCAGGTCCTATAACGGCCGGTACAATGCAGAACATTTCGTTTATTTGGACAAAAACACTAAATTCGGGCTTCTTCCTCCTCTGCTACTTCGCCACATAGAGCGCCGCAAGGCCTCCACTGACAGGCGGCACTGCGCTCAGTGCGCTGACTCCCTACAGTGCGCGTTCCCGCACTGTGTCGGGGCCGCGCTCCCGCCCTGCCTGGCCGAGGAGAGGAGGCGGACAGTGTGTGTCACAGTTGGAGGGGAAGAGGAGGTGTGGCAACCCGGAACCGGAAAGGGTGAGGAGAAGGAGGGTCTGTGCATCGAGAGAAGGGTCTGTGGAGAACGTAAGGAAGGAAGGAGCCGGCACCGGCGGGGAGTCCAGGCCGCAGCTCTTCACAATAACGCCCGGTAATTTAACGTGCTCTTTATACTTCTGCTTGTAAGCGCATAAACTGAGGAGGGCGCTGTTCTCACTTACACCTGTAGGGGGGCCGGCACGAATAAAGTGTGCTGAGTGCAGCACTGAGCGCTCTTTTGGCGACATCCAAGAGATGATGCGGGGGGCATCTTCCCTGCCAGTCGCTGTATGTTGTGCTGAGATTTGTAGTTCTACGTCAGCTGGAGACACGCACGGGCTTTCTGCTGCTCCAGCCTCAAAGAGCTAGTGTTCACAAAGTCTTCTGATCGGACGATTGTCCACACACACCCACCCACCCTTCAGCTCGCCACACATACTGACTGATTGTACAATCTCCATTAGATCTAGCAATAACTATGTGCCTCATATTACATGACAAGGTCCTCATATTACATAGTTTTGGTAAATCTGAACTCGATTGTATGGTCAGTGTAACTTGTGTAGTGAGCTTTCTCTGATTGGATGATTGCCCGCACAGTCCTTTTGTGATTGGGAGATTGCTCCCGCACTCTGATCTGTTAGCATGGTTGCCCACATTGTGTTTTTTATTTAGATTGATCAGTAATGTGAGTGGGAATGTTTTGGATTCCATGTAATTAGTATTTCTGGTCATATAGAATATCGGTGTGCTGATCAATAAGGGCTTCAAAGTCACTTGAATTCTGCCCAAAAAGAAGCTCATGTACTTTTTCAAGCTAGAGGGCAACACAATACTTGGCTGTGAGCAGGCACCATTGAAAGTAATGGGGTTCCTTCATGTTGAGCATTGTCGCTTACGGAGCTTAAACATTATTTTATATGTGTACAACATTGTTCACTTTTATGTCACAGAACAGGCATTGACTTGACTTAGGGGGGCTAACGTGTGTGTATATATATATATGTATATGTATGTATACATATATATATACACAACACAACACATACACACAACACAATGTGACAGGTTCTCTTTTAATGAGCTTTTGAAGCAGATTAAGCACCGGTCGTGTTCATCAGCTTTATCCCCAGCCACAGCGGCCAGGTAATGACGGCACTGAAGTGATTAAATGCTTGTCATTCACTGGAGGGGAGAGCAGTGAAGCTCCCCATCCCTGATCTCCCTCCATTTTACCTACATGTCTGTCTTGGGCCCACAAGAGGGGCACAGGAGCCCAGGAAACATGAAAGTAGTTCAGAAGAAGGGTTGGCAGCTTGCAGTGGGTGTGGAAGTGATCGGATGGCTTTATGGCCACCTGAATCACTACCACTAGAAAGCTGGCTGACGAAAGACAGGAAAGGGAATTTGGGAAAATGGAAATACCTCCTCTTGTACACTTTTACTGGCGAAGGGGAACGGGTGTTTGCCGAAAGGTAAGTATAGGGTGTGGGGGGGGGGGGGGCAGATTGGAGGGGGTAATTCCATTTTTTCCCCCAATTCCCTTGGGAAAGTGGACTTTCCTTTTAAGGACCCATGCTGCTACCAACGTATGACAGCAAAATGGTTCATCCGCAATGTGAGCACCTGCCCCAGTAGAGTCTATTTGTAATGTCATAAACATGCTTCCTCTAGTGAAAACGTTGGCATGTTAAAGGTTTTATTTCCACTTTTCCTTTTTTGCATTAAGGGGTCCCCCCCGTGCTACTGACGGTGGGACCCCTGTCCTCATGTTGTTGGCATTTACCTGGTGAAGCCTGCCTATTTCTTTGTGTTGACCCCGCTGTGCCTTTTTATTGTGGGAGGAAGTTGACAGAGATAACATTGTGTTTATAGGGAGGAGCGAAGGACCACATGTTCACAGCCGTGAGTTTGTGATTTGTTCTTCATGGCTGTGAAATTCTCAGGCGCTCGAAGTTAATCTGGACTTGCAAGTTTAGAATTTCGTTTAAAAATGTTTTTTTCATATCTCAGTGTAATCATTAACTTATGTATTGATGATACAAAACCTCACACAGTCATTTGAGGTAATAGCTGTGATGGAAAATAAAAGCGAATTCCATCTTTTATACCATGTTTAATGTTACTTCATATTTAGGGTGTAAAATAAAACATGGTGACATA